CTTGTTTGATTGTTTGTCTTGTCAAGTATATGTACTTTATGATGTGTTGTACTCTGTTTGATTTGTGAACTTTTTAGGGACCTCCTCGAAAATGAGATGATTAATCTCAAGGGGCTATCCCATTAAATAAATTTTAAAAATTAAAATGTGTATAGGTATAGTGTATAGACCGTCATATTGGGGTGATATAAACACACCTAGTCCTTTTTTTTTTTCAATTTAACAACATAAAAATTGTGGACCAATTGGAGCGGTTTTGAGATCGACCGCAACTTGACGTAGGAGTGCTGTCCCCGTGCCCACCAGTATTGATTGGCAGGCGCGCATTACCACATTCTCAGTTTGTTGTTTCACGTCCGCCATTTTCAGCGTTCAGCGTGAGTCAAAGTGATGTCACCAAAGGAACACCCTTGCTCTATTTTTAGATGGAAGGCTCATTGGGCTCAACACAAGATCAACATTCGCCATTGTTTGTAACTTTAGGTGGGTTTACAAACATGTGTACTTTTCATTGCGTCCTCCTTAAACTTCAGCCGTTTGCATTTCCCGCGATCACAGAAGCTCCCTGTCATTTAAACTAGGTGCAGCTGGAAAGTGCTAGCACGTTGCCTCACGTGCGCGTCCCTCCAATGGAAATAACAAACTTGCCTTAAGCAGGTCGCACACCAGAAGCACTGCCCGGCATCGCGCCTTGCATTTTACAATTCTAAACACAGGCAGCGTCCGAAACCGCATACTTCCATACTATATAGTACGCCAAAATCAGTATGCAAGCCGAGTAGTATGGCCGAATTCATAGAATTTGAAAATCAGTATGCGAGAAGTACGCGGATGACTTACTACTTCCGGCGAGATTCCGGAGTGCGCATCCCATGCATGCTGCGCTATCCCATGATGCCCCGCGAGTGAATGGAAGTAAAGCGACACAACTGACGCAGGTAGGTCACGTGACCATACAAAATGGCGGATATAGTACGTCCGAATTCCATTCATACTTTTCACATTCATACTGTATAGAACGTACTTTTCTAACGGCAGAGTAGTACCTTTAAATTGAAATGCAGTACCTACTGAGTAGTAGGCGGTTTCGGACGCAGCCACAGCTTTCTATCAGGGTACACACACCGGCGGCGCCCAGCCATGACTCAGGACACTGTTCATATTTCTGCCGCGCCACAAAGCGCCATCTGAATAGTTTTATTTTAAATAACATGCGAATGTGCGTGTCTGGTGTGCCGTGTCGCGGCTCTGAGCGGTGCATCCGGTGTGTGACGCCCTTTAGTTATAGCCTCAGTCAAAGTTAATTCAGTGTGCATGGTTATTAGTCCCAGTGTACAAGCTCGGAACTTTAAACTAGCACAGAGTTGGCTGTAAAACTAGACACAAATGATTTTGTAGTCTTTGCTTGGTCTGTGTGCGAGTCGTATATGTACGGCTGAATGCTGGTCCTCTCACTCAAGTTGCTACCCTCTGTCTGTCTGTTGCCACACACAAAGCGGGAGCTCTTGGCTCCGCCCCTTGTTATGTTGGGCGGGAAGTCGAAACTAATTTTCATGTGAAGCAACACACCCCTAAAACAGCGAGTTCTGTACGCGCCCTCAAAATTACACTTTATAACACATTATAATAAAAAAATCTGAACTGTGTTTTGAACTGAACCGAAACTGGCACACTCAGAAGAACCATAACATTAATGTTAAATCTTAAAATAGGGGTAAACTAGGTGCCCTTTAAATGTTCGCAGGAAATAGACGTTCTTAATATTTCAGTACAGATTGATATACCATCACATGGTAAAGCTGCCGCACCTTAAATGACATCTCTTTTATCCTAGAACAAAGGTTTCGAACTCAGTTCCCGGCAACAGTATGAAGCTGCAGGCCCGGAGACCCAACTGCACGCTCAGACGGCTAGACCTGCACTTCCAGACCTTCACAGTGCCACCTGCTGTTTAAAAGATCGACTAACCTGAATTCAGCTGCTTCTAAATTGTAGTTTAAACTACTTTTCCACTATAAAATATTACGCTATGATTGAATACATTATAATATGAAGTATTAAACATACTACATTTTGGATGTAGTGCATTAATTCTGTTGTATTTTTATTAATTGTATTTGTTGTTCAGTTACTTCAATATTTACAAATATTGTTGTTTTTTAATCATTAAGGATTTAACACTTTCGTTTAAGGGAATGAATATTATCATCATATACAATCATTCCTTTACGTACAACAAATTATAGTACTCTGAGTAATTTTCTCACAACAAACTTTATTTCTGCGTTCTTTTTCATGAGGTCACACAAGTCAAGTTGAAAACAATGCAGAGAAAAATGGTAAAAAAAATAAATAATTGGAGTAATAATTTTTTTTTTAAGTAGAAAATAACCATCAAATAAAATAAATGCTTTACATTCTTGTTGGTGAGATTTTTCATTTTCTAGAGCAGTGGTTGTCAAACTTTTTTCCTCAAGTACCACCTCAGAAAAAAAATCTCTCCAAAGGTCTCTCCTCTCCAAGTACCACCAAAATGAGCTGTATTGAAATACAATAGCGTAGTAGGCCCAGTAAAGCAGCTACACCTCTGCACAGTTAATAAACGTGGCAGATTACCTCAGAAATAAAGGCTATATGTTATATTTGGCATATTATATAGATAATTTTTGATATATATTTTTAATGTGTGTAGCATGTACATGACATATTTCATTCCTCCGGGTACCACTAGAAGGAAGCCTGCGTACCACTAGTGGTACACGTACCACAGTTTGAGAACCACTGGTATAGAGCATGAAAATATCTGCAGCCTTTGGTGCACTGTATAAGTGTTGGCAGAGACCGCCCTTTTTAAAATGTAGAATCAATCTGGGGAAAAATACACACCACAAGCAAATTATTATTGCTTTAACCTAAGAGAGCCCATATTGTAAATTCCATGCAGATTAACTGATCTTTTGATTTCCAAAAAACGTATTTGTAACCATTACAGAACTTATTAATAATTGATAAACTGTTATTGTGATACTGTTACTGTCTTTGGTAGCACTTTCAGATAGATAATACAGTACAGTAGACCTACATAGCACTAAAATGTTACAAAAATAATTACGTTATATATTAAACATTTTATTTTAACATTTTTACTTAGATTTTTTTTTTTTCAATTTGCCAGAAAACATTGCTAGAAAATTGTCCCAGTAGGCTAAAGCAGTAGGCTAAATATCATAAAATAATGCTCTAATAATTGTTTGTTAGTGTAATATTTTACACCACATTGATTTATGCCATAAAACCTGGTAATTTTCAAGAATCGCTTCAATAATTAATCACCTTATACTGGCGTTTCTGATGTTGCTACTTGCTAGAAAGTGCTGGTCCGAACGTCCAGTTGGGTCTCCGTACCTGCAGCTTCACCCATCCCAGCAGCAGGGGGCACTGTCTGAGAAAACTATAGGTCTGGAAGTGCAGGTCTGAGCGTGCAGTTGGGTCTCGGGCCTGCAGCTTCCCCTTCAGGCTGATTTATACTTCTGCGTCAAACGCCGG